TAAACATATATATAAATAAATTAAGGGCTGTGCATAGGCTAATGATGACAGTGTGTCATGAGCCAGGGACTATGATTAATCCAGTTTTCAGCATTCAATGTATTAAATTAGAAGGAAGGAAGAGAGAAAGAGGGAAATATGCCAGTAGAGCCAGCCTCTCTTCCTTCCTTCCAACCTCTGTCGTTCCTTCCTGCCCCTCTGCCTTCAATCATTTATCCCATAAACATGTATTAGATGTTAACTGTGAGCCTGGCCCTAGGCGAGGTGCCGTGCCGGGAGCACCTGGAAGAATCAGTCCTGTCCTAACAGAGTCACCGTCGGCTGCAGGAGCCTGACAATTCCCGAAGGGTTTGCAAAGTGTGACTCGGGTAAGGCCACAAAATGGTGTGCCCCTGGCCCACCCAGGGCTACTTGGGAAGACTGTAGCGCTTTGGACTTAGAAATGAGTAAGATGAAATTGTAGGTGGGGGTGCAAAAGCCATAAAGAGGAAAAAGACAGTTGTGCCCTAGAAATGCTTACATCTTGGGAGCAGGGCGGGAGCAGGAAAAGAGGCAACAGCAACAGTGGGATTGGGCCCCCGAGGGAGGGAAGCAGACTGAGCCCAGGGTGTCAGGAGGCTCCTGGGGCAGACCACATGCCAACAGGCAGCGGAAGGTGAATCAGAGCTCCCTGGGGAGTTCGTACCAGACAGAAAGGTCAGTGTGTGCAAAGGCCTGTGTCAGGGAGAAAGAGCTTGGCTCACTGGAATTGTTTGCAGTGGTTCTCAACCTTCCTAATGCCGTGACCCTTTAATACAGTTCCTCATGTTGTGGTGACCCCAATTTCATTGTTACAGATTGAACATAATTAAAGCATAGTGATCAATCACAAAAACAATATGTAATTATATATGTGTTTTCCGATGGTCTTAGGCGACCCCTGTGAAAGGGTTGTTCAACCCCCAAAGGGGTCGCGACCCACAGGTTGAGAACCGCTGGCTTAGAGGGGCTCAGTGTGGCCTGACCCAGAGCACAGATGTAAGACTAGTACACAGGAGCCAAAGTCAGCTGAGAATGGGAAAACCATCGTGTGGGCCCTGGGGCACCTCTGAAGGGACCGGTAGGGGAGAGTTTTATCTGATGAAGACGGCTCTGGCATAGGGCAGAGGTGAGGTGAGGAGGCTGCTGTGGTTGTGGGGAACGACGGGATGTCCCGCTGAGCTGTTAAGAGGAACAAGATCAGAGAGATGAGCCCCTGATGGGCAATGCCACACTGTGGGCTGGGCTCAAAAGGAAGGAGGGAAGGCGGGCTGAGCCACGCAGACCTCACACTCCACATTCTCCTCCATGGCGTGCGCATCTTTGGAGCAAGCTTCAAGCTCCGAAATATTTCAGAACGGAGGATTTTTCCTTGACTTCTGTTAAACCACGGTTGATCCTTGTGGAAGACAGAGAAGGAGACCAAGGCTTCGATGTCTAAAACCTGGTAAGTAGATTGTAAACCAAGCCCTGTTGGGAGAAGAGACCAGCAGTGGTGGGGTTCACAGCTTTGCATTATAATCAGCAGTTCTGTAGCCCTGACTGCCCGGCCCCCCTAATGGACCTTCTGCTCCAGGCATTCCAAGGCTGCTGCAGATCTTGGTGAGAAGTAGACGACTACAACAGATAGCCATGCTCAGGAGATTCTTCTGTCCCCGTTACAATGAGAAAGCAAAGAATCTGAATTGAAATTTAAGCCCAGGACTGCCTGGCTATGCTTACGGAATATTGTGCTTACTTTTGAGTGAGACTGGCTAGTTCTTTGAGGGTTTATTTTTTGAATCATCCTTGGACACTTAAGGCCATATTGTATTAATTATCTATTGCTACACAACAAATTATCCCAAAATTTAGCAGCTTAAGACAACAAACATCTTTTCTTGTACAGTTCCTGTGGGTCAGGCATCTGGGTACAGCCCGGCTGAGTATCTCTGACTCAAGGTTTCTTGTGAAATCACAGCCAAGGGGTCAGACAGGGCTGCAGTCTCATATGAAGGCTCAGCTAGGGAGTAATCCACTGCCAAGTTCACTCACAGGTTGTTGGCCGCCCTCAGTCCCGCACCACATGGGCCTCTCCAAAGGCTGCCTCAGAACTTGGCAGCTGACTTCTTCCAGAGAGGTGATCCCAAAAGACAGCAAGAGCAAGAATGAGTAAAACAGAAGCGACAGGTTTGTTTGTTTTTAAAATATATCTTTATTGATTTCAGAGAGGAAGGGAGAGGGGCAGAGAGAGAGATAGAAACATCAATGATGAGAGAGAATCATTGATCGGCTGCCTCCTGCACGCCCCCTACTGGGGATCGAGCCTGCAACCCAGGCATGTGCCCTGACATGGAATCGAACCGCGACCTCCTGGTTCATAGGTCAATGCTTAACAACTGAGCCACAAGGGCCGGGCAACCCAGAGGTTTTTGATAACCTAGTCTTGGAGGGACATCCCATCACTTCTATGGTGTTCTATTGGCGAGGAGCAAGTCAGTACGGCCATCCCACAGCTAAAGGGAGGGGTTACACAAGGGTGTGAAACCAAGAGTCGGAGATCACTGGGAGCCATCTCAGAGGCTGCCCACCTCAATCTGGAGTTTTCATAGCCAGGCTATCCTGGCTTCTCCCAAAATGGCAAGTTCTTTCCCCGGATATGCAGGGGCTGGAGTACTTTGGGCCTGCAGGGACACTTGAGGTGCTGATGTGGACACTCCTTTGTGCTTAAGGCATAGTCTCATATACAGGGGCCACTGTGGTGAGCCCAACTGGAGTCCCCAATGGAGGGAGGAGGTAGTTTCTTAAATTGTGGTCATTGCGCCCTCCCCATCTTGTGCTTGAAGCTGCTATAATGTTTTCTAGCAAGGAGTGGAAGCAATGGGCATACTCTTGTCCACCCCGTCAGCCAGATTGTGTTGGGTCCAGGTGGAGAAACCATCAGCTTAAAAGTCTTCTTTAAACTTCTCTTTGCTTCTGATCTTTTTCCTCAAATTTTCTTTTCTTGTTCCTCAACCATGCCCATTGGCCCCACAATTGCTTGTCAAGTAGGTGCTCTGGGAGGAAGGACTGCTGTGGAGATCCCTGGAAATACAGTAAGTGTGAAGGGAGTTCTGAACTGCCATTCAGGTCAGTTCAATCCCATTTATTCAATATCTGATCTGGGAGAGGAACACGGGATCCAGAGTTACCAAGTACAGGTACTTGCCCTCCTGGGGGTTCCCAGTTTTAGGAGGGAGACAGATGTACAAATGCAATAACAACACAGAATAAGTGCCACAAATACTTGATCAATACATTCTTCCATCACCCCACCACGACTGCCCTGATTCACGAAGCATCATCTTTGCTTGGGCTATTTCAGTAGCTTCCATGCTGGTTTCCTCCATCCATCCACTCTGATGCTGAGAGATCTTTCTAGAATGCAAACCTGACAATGTCACTACCCTGGTTAACGGCTTCCCCAAATGATCCTGGGAGAAGGTCAGACTCTTGGGATGGCCCCCAAGACCCTAGCCACTGTCTATGCCCCCAGCTTCATCTCACCACTTTCTGCTCACGTTCCCGTCATACCATAGGCTCTGTGCTGTGGTAGGTGACCCAAGTGACCATCCAGGAGCTGATTTGTGTAGCCACCTCCACTAGGAAGCATTCCCAGATTGCCCTTCCCAGTCTGGGAAAGGAGCTCCACAGCCCCATCGGTTGGATTGTCTTCACTTGTCTGTGTCCCAGGTGAAATGGGAGCTCTGAGCTAGGCTTTCTGGTACTTGGCACAGAGACAGCTGGGGTGAGACACAGGACTGCGGAATGGAACTGAAGTCAAGTCTGGGCGCACAGAGGATGGCCTCCAGAATAGGAACTTTTAGTTTCCCCAAGGAAGCACGGATGCTAGCAGCACCCTCTGGGCCTCCACTCTGACTGACCACGCCGTCTTCCTTATCTCTCAGCTCAATTCAGGATCTCTCACAAAGCAGCGGCCCACCATTAGTACTGGTAGCCGGCGAGGCTGAGCAGAGAAATCCATTTCCCAGCAACTCCCGTGGGCCGGGAAGGCCCTGTGAAGCAAGTGCAGTATGAAATTGGGCTCCAAGAGATGAGTTGGAGCTTGATCTTAAACAATAAAGTGTGGTCATGTGTCTAAGTGAGAGGATATTAAACCATCCTCTTTTCCCGGCTGCTATTTCCCACGTGCGTTGGGTAAAGACACCAAAGCTTTCGGAATGGCTCTGGGTGTCTCCTCCCCCTCAGGGGTACCCACCCGGGCGCGCTTGAATGAATGGGGGAGGACCCGTGCGCATGAATGAGTGCGTGAGTGAGGCAGTGAGCGGACGAGCGGGCGGGTGAATGGCGACCACGCAGCCGATCTGCACTGGGGCGCGGGCGAGGGTTCCACTTCCCTCTCCCGCCAGCTGGTGGCCTCGGGAAGGTGGCGGCGCCGGCAGCGGCCCGAGCTGGGACGGGCCGGGGCGCGGGATGGTGGGGGAAGGGGCGTTCCCGGCGGCCGCGCCTTCCGCGGCTATTGGATTAGTGGCCTTCAGGGATGAGCTCAGCCGGATCGGCTTTCAGCTGCAGCCTCCGGGCCGGCCGGGAAGGCGGGAGCGGGC